CCTCCAGCACATGGGGCCAGTGCCCTACTCCTTTGAGCCATAGGCGCCGCCCTCAAGATCTACTTCGAATCCTGTCTTCTCCATCCTGGGTAAGAGCATGTACTCTTTGTTAGCATAATAACAGAGAGACAGCTACACTTTTTGTCTCTCTGACCTCTAAAGTCTAACAGGTCACCAAATCTGCCTGTTCTAGCTGGGTCTCCTCCTCTCCACCCATGGAGATGGCCCTTCCCCCACACCCCTCTCACTATCCCCAGATCTCTCTCCATACAGATCTGGCCACTCCACAGCTGTGCTTACAACCTCCCGCCCTCTCCCTCCTCAGTGGGGCCTTCTCAATAGCAGTAGATGGCCTCATTGAAGTCACCGGCAGCAACCCTCCTGTGACTTACCTCACAGGCTGCTCCCACAAACCCTGCTTATTTTCTCACAAACCCTGCTTATTTCTCTAGATGGAATATCCATCTTCCCTTTCCTTCCTGAAAAACTCAATTCCAACCCAAGGTCACACGTGAATGACACCTCATTTGTGACACGTCCTCTGACTTCTACTGGGGTTTTCTATGTGCTACGCATTTTCCCTGCATGACCTCCACATACCAAGCTAGGTGATACTCCTAAGACCTCACAGCTGACAAGTGAGAGCGTCAGCATCACAGACGATAGCCGTCAGCCTGCAATGCCCACACTCCCATCCACCACATTGCACTGCGTGGCCTTTTAATCCCACCCCCTCACCAGGGGAGAGAGAGAGGAGTTCATGGCGCCTTTCCCTCAGCTTCCAGACCAGTCTCTGAAGGGCAGTTGCCACCCTGCCCTATGCTAGGTGGTGAGGCCAGCACAGGCAGGGAAGGGGCACAGTTGTCATTACATCCTGGTGCCCAGTGCAGGGGCAGTGCTTGGGACACAGCATTCAATAAATGTGAGTGGCAATGAAATGCTGCTCTGGGAGGACTAGCAAAGCTGTTTTGACTCATGTGGCCTCACTGAACAGCCTCCTCAAAGCTTCCCTACCACCTGTTAGTGAAGGCAAGACCTTGTCTGGGCTAAGGCATGTGGTGTGCCCCTTGATTGCCATGAGTGGCTGCCCTCCCAGGCCTGGCAGACAGTGAAGTCTGACTTCTTGGATCCTGGCTCTTTGGATCCTGCACAGCTGGGTGACCTCAGGGGTTTGGCCACCGTGTCAGCCATCTCCTATAACCACAACCACACTTTTTTAAAAAACAAACACTGCAAAAGTGAAACAAAGCAGATGGCAGGTAGGAGGAGGTGGGTGTGCGCAGAGGCATTAGGATACCCCTGAGTGGGGCCCCCATTCTGTGCCCTGTCTTCTGCCTGTAGGGGAAAGCATCTCCTCTCATTTTCAGAGTCCATATAAAGCAAAAGGAAGTGTACATAAATGTGTGTGCATGCACACGCAGACACCCCCCCCCCCAAGCCCTCACTACGCATTGAGAAGCTTATCTATTTAGATCTAAACACTGAGCAGGCTTTGTTCTCCACCCACAGACCAGAGGCTGTCCCAGCAGGAAGGAGTTGGAGTTGGAGAAAAGGGAGAATTAAGAATCTTTCTGGCAATGCAGATTAAATAAACAACAAATTGGCAGATGTTTTAAAAAAGGTAATTTCCACTAGCGGCAAATATACAGGAAAACAGACACTTCTGATAGATACACTGTGTGTGGGAGGGTGAATCAGTATAACCTTTTTAGAGGGTAATTTGCAATAATAATAAAAGGCTTAAAACACACACTCTTTTTGGCTCTGTAACTCTACTTCAAGGTTTTTTTCTAAGCACATAATGAGGGTTTTGTACAAATATTTGGCTCCAAGGGTATTTATTGTGGCACTATTAAAAGAAGTGTGACACCAAGAGCAACCTAAATTCCAACATCTGGGACTATTGGGTAAACTGTGCTCTAGCCTTAGGACAGTGCTGGAAATGAGATTTGAACAACACAGAAAGACGCTCACGTATCATCTTCAGGGGGAAATAGGTTGCAAAATAGTACATGGGATGTCTGAAAAGCATGGGAATATATTATTTTCAAGTCATACAGTCAATATATTTTCTTCAACACTGAGACACATTTTTAGGTGAAATACCTCTAAATTTAAAGCAATGAATCCAATTACTAATCTGAAAAAAGTACAATAAATGTGTTATTTTTCCGGTGTTTCTAGACTTCTTGTGTAGTCTGAAGTATGCTGGTTATATTTTTTTTCCAGATTTATTTTCCACATTTGGTCAATAAATACACATTATTTTGTAATTCCAAAGAAATTAATTATTTGATTTTCAAATATCCATCCATCATAATCTAAGAGGCTGTTTCCACCTGAATGTGAACCTTAGATGCATGGGCTTTGGTGTCAGGAAGTCCCAGCTGTGTTTCCCATCTGTTTTGGAGCTGGGGACACAGTAGAAACACAGACAGCCATGGGCCCCATTCACTGGAACATTACTGCCCAGTGGGAGACAGGCCTTTATCAGGTAATGACTCTGATACCATTATTGATGAACACAGAGGCTTCTGAAGTAAAAGGACTCTAGATTTCTAAGAATGGGAGGCAAAGAAATCCTCCTAGACTTGGGGGTGAGGACACCCCTTTCTCCTTGACAGAGTGATGTTTGAGGCAAGACACGAAAGAGCAGGTGTTCCCTGGTGAAGGAGACAGGGTGAGGCTGTACCCTGGGTTATGTACAGATGAACCACAGTGGGGCTGGGAGAACTTCTGATGAAACTACCCAGTCACTGTTTTAGATTTATAGCCCATCTCAGTTGTAATCCCAAGGAAATTAATTAGGATTACAATTGAGTCTTCAGGGCAGAAGTCTTTCTTATATTCCACAGGGGAAAAGAAGACTTGCTCTGTAGTTCCCTTTCTTATTCTTTCTTGAAGTGCATAGTAAACCACGCCCCTCCCAGCTGTTACTCCCCAGGTTTCTGTTTTGGAGTTAGGTTCTCACTGTCCTATGTTAGCACTGGGATAACTCTTAGGGAAGGTAAGAGATTGCTCTTTCTCTAAAGTGACCCAAATCCTCAGTTATAAATGGCCTTTAAGTGAGCCAAGATTCTATTCCCTGTCTAAAAGGGCTGCTGCCCTCCACTGAACCTGTGTCAAGAAGGGACAGCAGGAAACTCTTCCAAGGTGCTCTAACCCTGGAGAGTCAGGAAGCCTGGGTGTCCATGTGTGGGGACTCCATGGGGACCTGTGACTCACCTTCCAGAGCAACACCGCCAGGAGCAGGAAGATGAGGATGCCCACCAGCAAACTTATGGCGATGATCCAGCCCACGACGTAGCCTCGTGGCTCCAGATTGTGCAAGGCCTCGAAGACCACCTAGGAGGCAGTGAAAAAGTGAAAATGTTTCCGGAACAGAAGCACCTGCAGCGCGATTCATAGCACCTGGGCTTGACATTCATAGAGAACTAGAGACAAGTGTCCAGACCATGGTCACCAAAGAACGGATCTGCTAGGCACAGTTTCTAGTTATAGACTGATAAATTTTTCATTAGCACCTGAAAACACACTTGAATGCAAGGTCTTGAAAGGGTTTCAGTGATAACAATCCTGATTTAAATTTCATAAAGTGAACAAAACTGTAGTGAAAAACTTAGAAGACAGGCTCTGGTCCTGATTGAGAACAGACAACAACAACTGACTTAATTTTTGTGCTCTCCGTGTAAGACAGAACTCCTTCCCAAGTGTTCTGCTCACTGTGTAACTTAGTGGAATTATTTGATTAATACCAGTTCCCCCAGTAGACTGTGGACTCCACAGGGGCCAGAACACATTTTGTCGTGGGTTGCATGGCAGTGCTTTGCACACTGAAGGAACTCACATGGCTCTTTGCTGTGGTTTCCCATAAAAGCCATAAGCAATCAGAGCCCATGTCTCAATGAAGAGAGGCAAGTTTTCCCAACTTTATTGGAAGTCAGTGGCGTGCTGGAGCTGGCTCACACCAACTCACAAGAACCAATTGTGCATCTCTTCCCAATTCTGCATCTTGTGACATGGTGATGGTTGTTTGAAATGGGCTGTGGCAGGAGTATTCACGCCACAGAAATTACATATCAGCACTCCCCTACCCTCCTGCCAGAGAAATGACTATTAAGCCTGTGTCAGCTCAACACTGACTATCCCCTTCAGCTCTGCTTTACCCCTTCTCATTACAGTGGAGTTTGGTTTATTAAATTCAAAGCATCTGCTATGTTTTCTGCTGCTAAATAACTGTCTTTAACATGCCACTGTCCCTTCAAGCTCCTCACTACTAATGAGATAAAAATCTCATCCCAGGCAGCCATCATCTCCCTTCACCACAGATAGGCTTGTCCAATCATAGGTCTTTGCTCAAGCTGTGCTGTTTCCTAATAATGCCCATTCCTGTCTTGGAAAAGGCCTACCGGGTTTCCCCGAAAATAAGACACTGTCTTATATTTATTTTTTCTCAAGAAGACACACTAGAGCTTATTTTCAGGGGATATCTTCCTCTTCTTGTTGAAATGCATGGCGTGGCTATGCAGTGTATCTGCAGGGCTTATATTTAACAAATGCATAGAAATCCTGCTAGGGCTTATTTTTTGGGTAGGTCTTATGTTCGGGGAAACATGGTATTTAAACTTAGCCCAGTCCTCAAGGTCAGCTGGCAATCTGCCTCTGCCAGGAAGCCTCACTGATCACTAAGGCCCAGTGGTCCAGCCCCTTGCTCAAGCTCACACAGTGACTGGGCATAATACTGACTTGTTCCTGCCCAACATTGCTTATTTAACCTTTTTGGGGGCTGGCTGTAACATTCACTGAATGTCCTCTGTGTTGGACTCTGCTTTTCTTGCAATCACTTGTCTAATTCATACAACTACTCTGTGAGGCTTCCAATACCCATTTTACAGAGTGGAACATGGAGGTCCAGAGAGGATAAGTGATTTTCTCTGGGTTATGCTGTTCAAGTGTAGAATCAGGGATTGAACCCAGGTCTTAGTCAACCTCAAAGCTTCAAATCTTAGCTTGTCACCTCCTACCACAGAATGCCAATGATGTTCTTTATAGACTATTTATTGATTAAGTGGATTATTTACTCTCTCTTCTCTGGTGATAAGGAAAGAAGATGCAACCATTTCTATCTCATTGTCCCCATTCCTACACCAGGGGCAGGAGAGAGTATGTATGCACTAGGGTTGGTCATCCTTGAGACAGGCCACCATGGTTATACCTATAGATCTGGAATCCAGAGCATTATCCTAAGAGAAATCAGGCAGAGCAAGCATTCCATTCTTTGTGGGGACATGTGAGAGGAGAATGCCTGCAAAACACATTAGGTGGGGCTTGATGCATATAGCTCAGTGGTTAAGGGCACCGGCCACATACACTGGGTCTGGCGGGTTTGAATCTGGACCTGGGTTGAATCTGGCAGGTTTGGACCTGCTAAACAACAATAACTACAACAACAACACAATAGCCAGCTGTTATGCCAGGTGCCCGTAGTCCCAGCTACTTGGGAGGCTGAGGCAAGAGAACCCCTTGAGTCCAAGAGTTAGAGGTTGCTGTGAGCTGTGATATCACAGCACTCTACGGAGGGTGACAAAATGAGACTGTCTCAAAATAAAACAAACAAAAGACCCAAACACATTAGGCTTTTCTGGGAATAGAAATAAAGCCTCACTGTAGCACATCCTCACTAGCTGTGTGACCTTGGGCTAGCCACTTTATTTCTCTGAGTGTAGTTTCCTCATCTGCATGACAGGAGCAGAACAGCACCTCCTCAGAGAATACAAGAGGATACTGTCCATACCGCCTTCAATACAGCATCTGGCACAGAGCCCATTTTGGCAAATGGAGGGTGCTCCTGTTAGCACCATTATCAATCCTGGCAGGGAGATTATTTTGAGGTTGTACACAGCTGGCTACTTTTTAGTTTTCAAAATTATTTATTAAAGTCTAATATGTAGAGAAAAAGTGTAAGTATAGAGCTCACTGAGTTTTCACATACTGAATGATAAATGCATGTGTTTAACCAGCACCCAGATCTAGTCACTGAATGTGACCATCTCCTCAGAAGTCACTACCCCCACCAAGGGTAATCTCTGCCCTGACTTCTAACAGCCTATGTTAGCATCACCTGCTTTTGTCCTCACAGTCATGGAATGACACTCTGTGAACTACTGTATCTGGTATCTTTCTCTCGACATTATGTTTGGGAGATTCGTCCAAGTGGCGGCATGCCCACTCTGGTGGCTGGGTAGTATCCCACTGTGTGGACACACCATTATTTATTTACCCACTGGTGAACATGGAGGTGGTTTCCAGTTTAGGGCTTTTACAAGGAGCAACTGTCAGACAGTAGGCAACCCTGAGGTGGAACAATTGGGTTGGGGGTGGGAAGCAGTGAGATAGGAACAGGCGCTGAAGCCTATCAGCCTAAATCCACTATTTTCTATTTTGTTCAAATTAGTGGTTAAAGACAGATTCATGTCTTTGAGTTCTTGCTCCTAAAAAGCTGTGGATCAAATAACTTCCCACTTGCAAAATTTTTTTATCGTTTTCTCATATACACATGAATTGTAAGGAACTATGGGGGAAGATGGAGTGGAAGGAGGAGCAGCTATTTAATCCTGGTCCTGGTGCCACATTAGGCAACCTAGATATGGCTTTCAGTTTCCTTTTCTAGGAAATTTTTTTTTTTTTTTTTTTGAGACAGAGTCTCACTTTGTCACCCTCAGTAGTGTGCTGTGGCATCATAACTCACAGCAACCTCAAACTCTTGGGCTCAAATTATCCTCTTGCCTCAGCTTCCCAAGTAGCTGGGACTATAGACACCTGCCACAACACCTGGCTATTTTTAGAGACAGGGGTCTCACTCTTGCTCAGGCTGGTCTTGAACTCCTGAGCTCAGGAGATCCACCCACCTCAGCTAAGATTACAGGTGTGAGCCACTGCGCCCGGCCTGAAATGAGATCCTGAAGTAGAAGATGCAACAGTTCTCTGAAAGTGCCTGGTGCCTGGTCATGTAATAAAAGTCTGCCAACCCTTCTTGCTGACACTGAATTGCTGAGACAGCCTGGAAGCTCAGTCGGGGGTAGTAGCAAAGTTGAGCCTCTGTGCTAACCCAGATGGCTTCTCAGGGCTGGATGAAATCTGCATCCCAGCAAAGCCACATTGGAGGTCTGGCTTTGTGGATGCAGAGAAGGTTAGAGTAGCTGCTTCAGTTTAGTCTGGCAAATTCCACAGGAATGCCTGTCACTTTCCTGGAATGTGTGCTTCATCTCTTATTATTTTTAGTGATGCTGTTCATCCTCTTGGATGTGTGCTGCATGCTTTGGCAGAGCCCCATCTCTCACATCATGACTCCAGTAAACTCATCGTGGGTGATGATCTGAGCATCCCGCAGTTCTAAGAAGCCACATCTTAAAGTGAAAACCAAAACCCAAAGGAAGGAATAGCAGCATGGACTAAAAGTGAGTGAAGAGACAATGGTCAAGTCTCAAATACACTACCAAGGAGTGGGAGATCCTGGCTATGCCCCTGCACCTCTCTATACATCTTTTCTCTCTATTTCTTGTTTCCATCTCCAGTTACTGACCCAGTTCAGACCTCATCTTTTCTCACCAGCACTATTTCAGGAGGCTTGGAGAAGACTTTCTAAAACATGGCTCTTAATCACATCACTTCTCAGATTACGCTAGCAATGGCTTCCCTTTATACTGAGTATTTAATTCAGGATACCACGCCTTTTACCAGCTGGTCTCCTTCTTACTCGTCCAGCCCTTCCCCAGACACATATTCACATGCTAGCCAGTTACCATCCTCCCTCCAGGAGAGTCTCCATGGTCCCCAGACTCTCTGCAGGCTGCATTTGCTACCTGAAATGCCCTTCCTGCCTTACCCATTGACAAGCCCCATTATTGCTCTTAAAAAATGTCCATAAACTTTGACTCATTAATTCTGTACTTAAAAACTTACTCAAGGGGAAGAAATATAAAATATGGAAAAAGTTTTATGCCCAAAGATGGTCACTGAAGAATTATTTATATTGGTACAAAATTAGAAATATCCTAAATGTCTAACAATAGGGCAAATTGTTGACATAAGCAAATTATGGTCAATGACAAAATGGATTATCACAGAGCTATTAGAAATGATGAAACCAAAGGTGGCTGTCAGGTATAATTTTCAAAAAGTTAAACGTTTGATTCTCACACAAATGCATAGTGAATGTGTGTTAAAGATTTATTTAATTCATCATGGAGACAGTCAGCAGGATGGTGAAACAAGTCTAAAGAAGGATCTGAAAAAAGTGTGTTATCACAGAAAAGAAAGTGCTGAAATCAGATTACTAAATCAAA